TGTGAAAACTTTCCGAAAGACGATCCCCCCTCCCTTCTCCAATCCCCATTCTACCTACCATTTTCCTGAGTTGACACAAAGTTATAGTGGATCACACCAGCCGATGACCACCACACTGTGACCATAATCTTTTTTCGTGAGGATCTTTGGAAATTGCCTCGGTGGTTCGTCGGCATCCAACCACTGTCCGGAACGTCTCCTGTTATCATACATGATCCATTTTTCATCACAGGTGACAATTCGGTCCAAAAACGGGTCGTTTCTGTTGCGCAAAAGCAGTGAAGAAGAAACCTCGAGACGTGCCAATTTCTGCCGGTCACTCAAATTGTGGGGCACCCACTTGTCGAGTTTTTTCACCTTCCCAATGCGTTTCAGACCGCAACAGTGGATTTGCCAACGCCTAGCTTTTCTGCAATCTCTCGAACTGTTTGGGATGGGTCAGCCTCCACAAACGCCTTCAAATCCTCGTCAGGTATTGCTTTAGGTCGACCGCTACGAGGTTCATCTTCAAGGCTGAAATCTCCAGAACGAAACCATTGTCGCACGGTGCTTTCTCCAACACTATTGGGCCCCACACCTGGTTAATTTGTCGAGCTGTCTCGACTGCGGATTGACCCAATTTGTAGTTGAAGAAAAATATCGTCCGAAGTTGCTCTTTTGACATGCTTCAAAAAGTCTTGGGAAAAGGGGTTTATCAAGCAATGGTGAAACGGCAATTATACCATCAGATAGCGCAAAAAATTCTCTTCAGGATGTACTACTGAGACGCAAGGGAGAATGAGTTTTTAATCAGCAATGAATGTACAAAAAATAGTAACACAAAACGCTGAGAACTTTCCGGACAACCTAATACAAAAGATTTTGCCGCACTGTTTACGCAGGATCGGCTGAGTATGTGCCATTCAATTCTGTCTGCCGCAAACGAATTATCCTAAGCACATAATGAATCTACCAGCCAGAAAGCACGACTTTACAGCGAGACACATGATGACCCCTTGTCATGTCGTTAGTATAAGAAAGTGTGCCGAGAGTTTGATTATCGTCTGAGAAGGTTTCTAACAAATAAGGAAAGGTGTGTCAGCAACCTTTTGCGTTTGTATACGTAAGATTAAGTCCCATTCTATACCTGTACTTTTTGATGAAAGTGGCAATCGTTTCCTAACTGATCGTCAAAAGGCTGAGGCGCGCACACAACTCTTCTCACCTGTCTTCTCCATTCCAGTGGAAGCATTTCCAGTGCTGCTTTCAAAACTCGAGAATGCTCGGATACCCTCTGTGAATGTGTAGTAAGTAACAGTTGTGTACGAAACGTTGAGATCACTCAAATTCTCCACTTCTCTTCCTTACGATGAGAAACCACATACTGTATGCAAGAATTGTACCCTTTCTTCATGCGGACCCATCTGTATGATATTCAACGTTTACCCTATGTTCTGTGCGGTCCCACTGGCATAGAAAGAATCAATCGTTATTGCCATCCCGAAGATTCCTGAGCTTGAACTAGTTGCTTCTTTCCACTTCATAAGAATAACTGCTCCGCCTGTTCAAGCAGACTGTATATCTGACTGACTGCTCTGCCTGCTAAAGCAGACTGTATATTCGACTGAAATCTTGCTATTAACAAAGGAAAGGGTGTGGACATGATCTTTTCTGACTTGTCCGAAGTCTTTGATAAAGTGAATCATAAAAAACTGCTTCATAAGTGGTGTGGTGCAACAGCTGGAAGACCCAGTCCCAGGAGTTGGAAGCCCCATCCTTAGCTGGATCTGTGTCTATCTAAAAGATAGACACATGTATGTCAAAGCAGGCTATTGTTTCTCGCGAAGTTTCCTTTTTGTAGTGGAGTTCAAGAGGGTGGTGTGTTGTCACCTCTGTTGTTTCTGGCTTGCACCTTTGACCTGCTCGCTTACCTCACTACTCACCCATTAGTGAATCAAAAGATACGCTGACGACAATAAGTGTATGGTGTTTATAACAATGATAATTATGCTTGCGTGCACCAAGCGCTAACCCAATCTGTAAGTGGATGATGCAATAGGCTGTTGCTTGCAATAACTATTAATTTCATGAAGACATCTGTACTTTGCATGTAGGGAGCCAGGGTTGTACCGTGCATAGTCGACGGTATTTCTCTTAGTACTTCAAGTAAAGATCGGGACCATTGAATGTGGACCATTGAATGAAAACCAACCATAATATGTACGATAAGAGGAGACGTTCCGGACAGCGGCTGGATGCCGACGAACCACCGAGGTAATTTCCAAAGCCGAATCCTCACGAAAAAAGATTATGGTTATGGATTACGATTATGGTCACAGTGTGGAGGTCATCGGCTGGTGTGATTTACTACTATAACTTTTTGTCACCAGGCCAAACCATCACAGCAGAGTCCTACTGTGAAGAAATCGACGAAATGTACCGAAAATTGCGTCAGCTGCAGCCAGCACTTGTCAAGAGAAAGGTCCGATTCTTTGCCGCTCGCCCACACGTTTCACAAATCACTATCCATATGAACGAATTGGGGGTTGAAGTTCTACCTCACCCGCCATATTCTCCAGACCTTTCACCAACCGACTATCACCTTTTCAAACATTTTCAGAACTTCCTTGCTGGAAAATACTTCATCAATCAGGACCAGGCAAAAAAGCCTTCGTGGATTCTCGACCACCCAGTTTTTTTGATGGGATTTATCGACTGGTTCACATTGGCAAAAGTGTGCTGATTCGAACGGTGCTTATTTCGATTAAATCCGATGAGTATTAAGAAAGTTATGATCGTTTAAAGTGAAACACTCAAAACGCTGAGAACTTTCCGGGCAACCTAATACTTGTCATCACAAGAGGCGTACCCATTGAAAACATTCCATTGATTTATGGAGGAGAATTACTTTCATAGCTCAGAATAATCGGCCGTGGCGAGGTGGGCAATGGAAGTTCATAGGCGTGGATGAGGGAATAAAACACGTGAATTTTTGCAAACTCACCTGCTCAAAGAACTCGCTCCAACAGTATACGAAGAGCTTGCCAAGTATGAAACCTCTTATATTCTAACAAAAATTGCATGGGGTACAAAGGGAGCGTCATTCTTCGGCTGTGAAAAATGGCAGTTTCAACACATGAGCACAAAAGTCCAAAATGGCAACATCTCACCAAAACTAGGGCCGCCGCCACACCCAGTACCGCAGGCACCCCCGCATGACTACGGGATTGGGTGTCCATCATCATCCGTCGTTTTTTCTACCTTGTGGAAAGAATGTTTCGACTTCTCTCCTTATTCACATGAAGAGTTTTGTGAGATGGGAGACCAAAGACATCAAATGCTGTTGGTAGGGAACGATCTTCAAGTGCATTAGTGCCTTTTGATTTAAATTTGAATAAACAATGCGACCCCAATGGACCAGTGCTACGGTATAAATAGCCTCGTGAAGCAGCAATCAGCCGTCATCACCTTCTTCCCCACCCTTTCCTTTTTTCCTCAGGCTGCTGCTGCGGCAACAAAACGAGCGGTCAGAACTGGAGTGACCACTAAATTCACCCAATCTCGTTTTCAGATTCAAGGGAATGCGCTGGCTGACACTTGCGTGCCTCACTGTGGTGTGCCTGGCTTTATCAAGAGACAAACGAAGCACCCTTCGTTCTTCCAACTCCCAAAGCCCGAGCTGCATTCAGGTCAGTACCAAAAAAATTGTGAAGCTTGACAAGTGCTTGACGCATAAACTCATGAACAGTTGTCCACAAAGAAGCAAACAAGGAGGGGGTTCACGTGCCGTAGGTCATGCCTAGCCGCTAGTGAGTGGATCTTGTTCTGCTGTGAGAAAAATTTTTTGAACATTGCTTTTTCCCGTGTTGCTGTTCCCCCCAGTTTTGCGGGAAGCGCATGGGGTCGCAACTGGCGTTAAGAACAGTTTTCTCATGAGAGACAAGCCGTACAACCATCTTCGAGGACGGTTCTAGTCATGGGCGACGAAAATGGGTCCGCAGCTGCAGTAGTGTGCCACTTCCAGAAGTGCGCGAGCCGGTGCCTAGGCCTGAGCGCGAGTGAAGAGAGCACAAACACCGACCCGGAGCCGCCCGGCGTGTCTTCTGCGTGCCCTCTGTCCTCACACTATACCGCTAAGCGCCAATTCCCCGTGCTGAAGGAAGCATCTCTTGGCACTCAACAGGTCCAAGACCATATATAGGTCATGATCTCCACAGCATCGTGCGCGGAAGATACATTCTAACCGCCATGTATCGTAAAGAACCATAAAACTTATACACCTATCCTTACATTGAGTAAGGCGCGTACAACAGCCCAAGCAATTAATTGAAACTTGTGGTCAACCCTCGGAGACCCGGGGAGGTGGCGCGGCCGAGCGTCGAATATGAGCTAGCGCCGCTTATGACGAAAATAGTTCGTTGCGGACCCATCAAACTAAATTAACTTTAGTACTCACCCAGGGCGCTTCAGAAACGTGTTTCCGCTTGCGAGGTTTTAGATACCGAACAATCTCTGCACAACCGAAGCACGAAAACACCAGCAACGCGCGAGAAGAAACAGGAGTTGGTAATTCGTCACGTCCGAGAGAAGTGTAGCGTTTTGGAGGAAGCGAGCTCAATTATAAAAGAGTCGCAAACTTCCTCTTGTACTGATAGCAGTGGTTTTCTGATTCGTTTCCGGAATTGATTTATTCGCCTAGCTGTTCAAGGAAACGAAACCTAAAGTAGTTCCCTTCCACTAAGCCCGCTTCCAGAGATTCCTGTGTCATGAAATGAAGATCTTCATGGAGAAATTCTTGTCGGTGAGCGAAGATATAAACTGTCTAATGGAACAAGTCACATAACGCTAAGCCAGGCACGTAAACCCAGCTCATAATTAGAGAGCCTTCCTCATTTCCCCACAGAGTTACTCAATAATAAGAGCAAGCTACGAAGCAAACAAAGCACATGGAGTCTTGCTCAAGCGCCGAACCTCTGAACGGAGCGGAGCACGCGGCACCTATCATTTCTCATATCGGTCTGATGTCGTTTATGTCTGGGGGATGTTTTGCTCACGACGTTTTCTTCACTCCGACGTCCAATAGGTAGGTCCTCTTTCATAATGGTAACCGAAATGACTCAGGATTTATAATGATTATGCACCATTACAATTTCCGTAGGCAGCCCCGCCCAGTAGTGGGCTAATGGTACAACGCTTCCCTCCGAAAAGCAGCCCAAATGTTCCATTAGATGGGCTACCGGGCCAGGGGAAAGTCTTCGTGCTTACCGCGTCGAAGAGAGAAAAAGGCCCCTTCTCTGTCACAGTTCAGCTGAGGGAGCGAGGTCAGGGCATAGATTTGTTAAGAAGCTTGCAAACTTTGTGGTGACTCGCGTCGGCGCGATGTACGGCGCTGTAAGGCGCTGTAAGGCGCTCTATTGCACACCAAGCTACAGCTGTAGCAGCGCTCCAGAATGCAGTTCGGCGAAAGAGGAGCATTTTGCTTCTCGCGGCTTCATTCCTGCTTCCGAATCTCACTCTGGTGAAACCTGTTACCTCTTAGGAGTGTCGGACCTTCTAGCGACCATGGCAGGACCTGCAAATTCTTGTGAGCTCACAAAATTACTCTTTGGATGGGTCGACACGCCTATGGGGAGTAGCAAACATGCAGAATACCCTCCCCACCCTTTCCCCCACCCTGACGCTGGAAAGCACTACACTAGGGCTATAAACGTCGCTTGTGTTTTGAGAGAGTATGAGGAGAGTAGGATGGTAAGTGTAGCCTAGTGGCGCAAACTTACGCTCTAGTTCGCTGCGGACGGTTGGGCGTGTCAGCCAGTTTGAGTCACCCCATCAAAGCCGTTCTCTACCTTCTTGTTAAAACGCACATGCGACAAAAAGTGAAAATGAGTAATACGAAGGGCATGGTACAGTATTGTCACTTGCTCGCTTCAACAACTGGTGGAGAACGAGTTTGGCACCGCTCCGAACGCAGCTGCACTAACACGCCGTCTGCAGCAAACTACACAATATATCGGCACCGGCCGCGCGCGGCTGCGCTCGCATCTATAGATTAGGGGCGCTGCTGGCATTGTAGCGCGTCGACGCACGTCATCGCGAAGTCTGAGCGCTGTCTAATAGCGTTTGAAAATCAGGCATCTTTGAAATCACATTCAGTTCATGAAGTCCTTCACTGTGAGGACTTTCTGTCATTATATTTTGATGAAGTTGTTAATTACAGAGCAGAGAAGAATTGCTACACTTTCACTGACGGCAATAGCCTGTGCGCCCAGAAATTCACACTTCCAACGGATTGCTTGGTATTTGGAAACGGCAGTGTTGTCTGTGTGAGGCCTGTAGAGCGAACTGAAAAACGTTCCTCACCAAGACAAGAGAGTACGAACACAACTCGAAGTTACCGAGGGAAAGCGCGCATTGCATTCGCCATACCCGCGCTTGTCGCGCTTGTAGGTAAGCTGTGGTCCCTTTTACGTTGACCTGATTTAGTTGTCAGAAGTAAAGTACCGGAAAATAATTCAACAAAGCTGCAGGAACACCAGCAAATACCAAGAGTGCTGATTTAGGCGCAGTTCGGCTTGGTGGGAGCACCGTATGGCGCCCAACTAAGCTGCATAGGTCACCTTGTGAACATTCGTGGATTCCGGTGACCAAAGTAGCTCAGTCGCACCATTGCACAGCTTAACAATAGTCAACAGGTCTCGCCAAGCAGGGCACGCATTCGTTGTGATGACCTCAACAGGGGGGTCGTATGGGGGGGAGGGTAGTAAGCGCAGGGCCCTTCCTGAACACAAGGAAATAAATATTGTACACTGAATGCACCTAAGAACCGAGCCTAGGGGATCGAACGATAATCCTGCTTCATCCTTTCTTTAACCTTTACAGAGGCCACTCGTGATTCACTAGTACCACCATTCCCACTAGTAAGTCACTAGTAATCCTAAAAGTGAACCCGCTATCACCGTCTAACCGATCCAAGTGAGAGAGAGGAGACAGTACCGACGGCTAGGGGAGAATTTGCTGTCTCGCCACATAAAAAGGATTGGATGTCACACAATCGAGCGATAAATATTCAAATGCCGTCACTTGCATTGGCGCGCATTTTCTTTCTTTCCTTGTGCGTTTTGATGCTCATTCATTATTTATTACTTTTCTTAATTTATTTATGATTTATTATGACTCGTGTTTCTCCTATTTACCCTTGATTAATCCTAGAATTAGTCTCTCATTGTAGTTTACTTTCGCAGATCTTCCATTTTTTGGTGGATGTTTGTCCGCTGCTGATCTGGTCCGCTGTTACCAGAGTAGCAGCCAACAAGAGAGGAGGGGGTCGTATTCGGCAGAAATTGATCACAACGCGGTGGCGTGCCCTGTCACCAAGGCGAGACCCTGTATTGGACGTGAACTAACAGAATGAATTGGCGAAAGTGCAATATATCCCTCCAAGCTGAAGAGCGTTCTGAATTGTTCGGACTCATAGACTGTATTGAAATGAATTCTTTTCAGTTCCAAAGTTAGCAGCCATATTACCTGGTGCAGCGGTAGCGGCGGGTGAGGGTTTGGCATTTGGTGTGGGTGTGGGAGTGGGTACAAAAGTTGCAGGCTAATGGTAAGTTGCTTCTGAAACGAAGAACAGTGTGTTTATATGAATAAATGCGTCCAAACAAACATCGGTTTCACTAATTTTCTTGTGCAGAACTTTACTTCCACTGCTCTCTGTTTTAGACCCCGGCTTTAGTACATTTCCCTCCTTTCTATCATTGTACTGCAATGAAATATTTCGACAGCACCACAACCTACATAATGGACCGAAATTAAACGACAAACTATAGCCCCACCTGGATCCTGGTCCTTGCCCTGCGTTAAGTAAAAGGATCCGCAACTGCATCAAAGTGTCACTTACCCCTGTCATAAGTGCATGAGAACGGTGCTGGAAGGTACTAAGGGCTCGGGTGCCGGCATACGGCCCTCAACACCTTCCAGCACCGTTCTCATGCGCTTATGACTAGAGAAAGTGATATTTTGATGCCGCCATACGGCCTGTCGCACGCCTACATAGCTAAACGATCCAAATGTCTGCGCCCTCTCACTTCCTCTATCGCTGAGTACGTGTTTTCCTGCGCGATCCTGGCATCGAAGCAAGTACCGCACATTGACGGTAGCGCGGGCGGGTTCTAAGATGACAACAGGTTATACTGAACTTCCGCTTTTGTTTCTCATTGCTGTGAAGCTGAGAAAATGGTGCGAACCCATCCATCCTGCTCACAGAAATGGATGTTGTTGGATCAGTGATCACCTTGAATCTTGCCATAAGGTCAAAAACACTTAGGCAATCGTGAACCCAAGATCACCCCGCGAGCCTGATCAGCTCCTCCTATTTCAACCGGTACACCGGTATACAGGGACGGCCAATAAAAAAAGTCACTTCAACCGAGTCACATATCAGCAAAGTTTTCGCAGCCCAGACAGAGGACGTGGATACGAGTACCAGGGCGGAAGATACCCAAGATGTTCCTCGATAAGCAGGAGCTGGCTCTCGCCCATCACCTTCATGTACACCAAAATATGAAGTCATCTCCAGTCGCATCCTTTGGAATTTGTGTCACCTCCAAACAGCTGCGAAACTTCTAGTGTGGAGTCACCCATGGATAGCTACCTGGAGACCAGTACTCTCGATCTGGAAGACCTCCAACATCGAGCAGCTCCGACAACGTCGCCATCTAGGACATCATCTTCACCGCAGTCGCCAAGGCGCGGGTTGATGGTATGGACCGGACGTACCTGGAATGGGAAGACCGATATTTTCTTTGTAGACCCGGACTGAAGGTGAGCGCTGGCGGTTACATCGAGCAACTCGAGAAGAATATCCTCGTCGTCGCCCGTACCTTCTTGGAAACTTTGTACTGCTACAGCATTGGGTGCCACCACATGGAATCGAAGGGCGTTGGAGAAACTCTCGCCTACTTGGAATGGAAGGGGGCTGAGTACCTAAAGAAGATGGAATATCCAAGTAGGTCACCTGACCTGAATCCCCTCAATTACCCGGTTCGGGCGGAGTTCAATAGGGTGGTCTACGGTGGCGGAGAAATCGACTATCTCGCTGATCTCAGGCACCACATCGCGGTCGCGTGCCAGAATCTCTCGATGGCGCTCGTCCAGAAGGCTGTGGCGGAGTGTCATGATAGTATTTAATATGCTCTTCAATATGGTGGTGGAAATGTCCGATCAGAATTGAATAAATTGTAACCTATAGCGCCAGGAGACAGCACTCGAGGAGACAACACTGGTGATCAGGACCGAAGAACTCTTAAGAATGGAAGCGCTAGTGTCGGCGCGCTACAATTAAAAGGGAAGGATAACTGGGTTCTTCTTCGTTTTGATCAATGACGCGCTGTACCAGAAACTCATCACGAGTCAGGATCTAAGTGTTCGGAAAGGCATCAGAAAAGTAGCCAACGGACTCCAAGAAACTGAAAATTAGTTTAACTGCCGAAGCCTTCCACAAATTCGTCCAGCTGCTTGGAATCATTTGAAATTTGCTATAAACAAATATAGTACGTACATAACTCACATGGGTCTGCCGGTATCACAGCAGATGTGCGCCGTACTTTGGGAATTTCCGGATTCCTAGTTATTTTCCTTTCTCACAACGGGGAAGGGAGAGGGTTGAATGCAAAATTTTCGAAAAAAAAACTATGAAAAAGTCGTGGGAGTTGGGAAGATTCAAGAAGACCGTAGGTATGATGGGAAGTGGAGTAAGGGTACGGTCGATACCGGACATAGCGCTACACACCCGGTTCAGGCAGAGAAGATCAGGACGTTTTCTCGGCTCACTCGTGCACCTTGAGCACATTTTGCCCACATTCCCGACCAGGCAACACTCACAATTATGTCCGTGGACACGCCCTCTCCAGTAGCCATGATACAGAGTGTAAATCGCCACGTAGGCTGTCTCTGCAGCTGATTTCAGACAATAGCCTCTTATCCCCGGTTCTCCTTGTAATTCTTTTGTTTCTGGTTTTTTATAGAAAAATTCGGCACTATTGAACTATTCCTACCCCAAAAATGCTCAAAAAATTTTTTTCGCTGAAACGTTGCCTATAGCCGTAATTCGATGCGCTGATCACGAATATCACACTGGTTTCAAGCGATGGCGCCATTTGGCGCCATTATGCGCCAGTATGGCACCAAATTGGCGCGTAGTGGCATCAAATGGCGCCAGCGCCAAAAATAAATGTTGGATTCGTAATCAGGACCTCAATTAACCCCCATATGCAAGTTTTCATCAACTTTGGTGAAAAAAGTGGTGGGCGCCAAATTGGCGCATAATGGCGCCAAATGACGCCAGCGCTCGAAACGGATGTGAAATTCGTGATCAGCGCATCGAATTACATCTATAGGCAACGTTTCAGCGATAAAATTTTTTTGAGGTTTTGGGGTAGGAATAGTTCAATAGTGCCAAAAATTCAATATGTGGCAGCAAATTGGGATGAGTGGAAAAGAAAAGGATTAAAAAAGAAAAAAAATGGTGAAAATGAAAGCGCTAACAATAAAATGCTTACAGAGCAGGGAAAAATGCTATCCTGTCGACGAGAAAACCAATCATAGTTGCCGTATTTCTATGAGAAGGAAATGAGATGCTGTGCAAAAGAAGGGCACTAGTCCTAGTCATCAACTGCGGTTACCTTGTAGATTGGAGATGTCTTTTAGTGACAGAAAATTTAGTCCGAAAAATTTGGTCAAAGTGTCGCATTACTTTTCGAACAGCCTAATATTTCTTGTGGACAACTTTAGCAAATGTAACCATTTGCGGTATTCCGCTCCGACACTGGTGGTGTGGGCGACAGTAGATTTCAAGCGAAATGGAGAAGTACTTGCGTTCAGTGGGTGAAGCCACCCACAGGAACGAAATTTCAGTGAAATCTGAGAAAACCTTAGGACCAATATTGGCTTGAGTTTTGAAGAATGAGGCGGTAGAGGGTGAATAGTGCAGCGAATCTAGATTATCTTAATCCCCTTCAGGAACAGCTTTAATGCCTTCTCTACAGCTTTCAAAGTTACCACCGTCGAAGGAGAAGACAGTGTAATCTCTTGAATAAATGCTATATCCCTCCTGCTTTATCTGTCTTGATACATCAGTTCTACACAATTTGCCTGGATGAAAACCTTTTCATATTCACCTAAACTAAATTAACCCGAAGCCGGTAGTTTAATCCGAACTAATCGGCTGGTTCTGCTCCAGCTTATTATTAGGTCTCCGTTAAGTAAAATTTGGCACGGGAGGCATTTTCGCATGGAGAAAAGGCATTTGTCGCTGAGAAAAAAAAATTCCTGAATATTGGTCTGATCCTTCCTTTTCACTGTCTGATCGTTAGCTCTGTGAACCATTTCTACTGGGGCGGGGGGAGGGGCTTAGCAGAAGCACCACTTCTGACAGCCGGCCTCCCGTCCCACCCTTCCCGTTCCAGCAGAATTTTAGTGAAACTCAGGTAAGGGCAATCTAGTCTAACCCTTGTCTCATGAGTGTGTTGTTAAAGGGGGTTATAATGAGACGCACCTTCTCAGGAGTCCCACTGGCAGCACGATTTCTGGGGACTTTGTCGCTTTCCCTATTGTCTCTGAGCCCAGTGCGACATATCAGTTCTGAACCTTTTCCCAATGCCCAAGGATGACATCTACCTGGATGGGCAGTCATGATGAAGAAGTTAACCTTGTCACCGTCATCACTGGGCGGGAGGTAAATGTATGGCGCCGAATCGCAATCAGTCGATATCTAACTAACACTTTCCTATTCACATCTAGGCAGGGATAGCCGAGTGATTAAGAGTGTAGACTCATAATCTCACTCTGAGCCACGAGTTCGATCCCTGCCGAGGCACAAACCTGCCTTGCAAAAATTGCAAAAATGGGGACGATACCAGCGTCAGGCCCAGGTTGACAGGCCGGCTGATGGAGGAACCCGTCACAACAATCATGACAAGTCGCAAAAGTATCAGTGTAAAAGCTAGGACGTCACCCGGAAGTGGCGCGCAGAACCCTCGCCCGAGTTCTGTGGTCAGTATGCGAGGGCTACCGAGGGGTGAACGACCTCGGCCAAAGAAGCTAGTTCGAATTGGGACCCTGAACGTGGGGTCGCTTACCGGGAAGTCTCGTGAGGTTGCCGACCTCATGAGACGCAGGAATATCCAAGTCCTATGCCTTCAGGAAACGCGATGGAAGGGTGCGAAGGCCCGCGAGATTGGAGAAGGCGTCAAACTCTTCTACAATGGAGCAGACACCAAACGGAATGGCGTGGCCATAGCGGTGGCAGAATCCCTCAAGGACTGCGTCTCCTCTGTGAACAGGATCAGTGATCGGATCATGGGAGTGAGAATGGACACGAAGGAGGGGTACTGGACAGTACTGACCGTGTACGCACCACAATCCGGTTGCTCCGAGGCGGAAAAGGATGAGTTCTACCTGACCCTGGACGAGGCCATAAGATCGGTTCCGGAAGATGACTACCTCACCATAGCTGGGGATCTGAATGGCCATGTGGGAAATGACAGAAGGGGTCTAGAAAGGGTGCACGGAGGCCAAGGAATAGGGGCAAAGAACGCTGAGGGAG